ATAGGTATGCTAAAAAAATTGTTATGAACCTCGGTATTCAAGTTGAAGTCATTGTCATGGACGATACAAATTTTGCTTCGTTGATTGTATTTGGAAAAGAAGCTGAAAGGATACTAGATATTCTTGTTGCTGCATTAATTCAATTGGTAGAAGAAAGGGTGTATATTCACCAAGCACGCGTGATTTTTAGACTTTATAATACTTAATTTTAAAACCAACCACTTGAGTTTGTTTTTTTACCATTTATTTATTTTTTATACTCTGAAGGATGAAAAACCTGTGAAGTATCATATGGAACTTCATGGGTTTGCACCAATGATGCTATTCATCGCTTCCTTTGTGAAGTATTATGAAATGGATGTGGTACTAATACTTAATTTTCACCCAAGTCATCTTATTTTTTATTACGTTAATTTTAATGTTTGTGTGTTTTACATTATTGCATAAAGATGACAATGATTCACCATCGCTGAGTGTGAATTAGACAATGATGGATCTGTCTTCTCATTAAAGGTGGATTAAACAAAATATTGGTAAACGAAATGTATAGTTAATTATAGTAAAATAATGTATAATTAAGTATAGCCTCAATGAATTAAATTGTATAAGTTAAATTTAGAAAAAAATTTACTACCGCCTCTTTTAATTAAATAAGTCATTATATATATATATATATATATATATATTGTAGACCCCCTTATTTCCAAATTATATAGAACTAACTACCAAGTGGATTACACTCTAGGAGAAATCCCCCTCATTTTAAAAAAAATTGATATACCTCCACTGGGCCACCCTGAAGTCCCTATAATACCCTTTTAAAATCAGTTTTAAACCCTAGTCACTCACATTTCGGTCTCTCTCTTCTTCTCCCAGATTCAAAATCCCGCCTCCACAAACCTCCCACCGTCGAAATTGCTTCCTGGAGTCATAACTCTCTCTCCCGTGGTCGGAATTCGATGGTTTAACCACCGTTGAATTGCTCTCGTCGAGCTCTTTCTTTTGGTGGTGATTTCATTCAGTTTGGAGCGCAAATCTGTTTCTTCAATTTTTTTTCATTCGACGACGGTTGTCTTGCCGGAGGTGCATTTTGTGTTCCACCAGTCGAAATTTCACGGGCTACCCACTGTTGGATTCCTCTCGTCGAGATCTATATTTTGATGGTAATTTCGTTATTTTTATGTTTTTAGATTTATTTCTATATTTTTTTGCATTTGTGGGCGCGCGGAATCGTGGGTGGTTAAAAGCGGCGGTTAGGGTTTTGGTAGGATGCGAGGGGGGTGATGAGTCATTGTCTGTTTGATTTAAAATCTGTAGCATTTCCCATCAATAAACTTTCTCTCTATCTCTCGATCTCTTGGTGTTTGTTGATTTTTGAGTGTTTTCATGTTTCTTCAAATTTTGTTGATTTGCACTAAAGTAATTTTTGTTTTGTTTTGATTTTGCAATTGCAGCTTAATGAAAACCATTGATCCTCTCCTTGAAGGTGTCAAAAATTTGGTTGAAGTTACATCTGCTTCAAGTTACAGTATTCAACAGACTGTATACATTACTCTACATTACTATACATTACTATATATTACCATACATATAGTAACATGTAGTTACATATGCATATATTTGTATATTTTCAATTTGTATTTTATTGGTTCTGAGGTGATGGATAATAAAAATATTGAAATTTGTAAATTTTTGTTAGGGTTTATGAATTTCTTTTGTATAAGCCAGTATTCTTGTGTGTATACAATTGATCGACTAAAAATATGGGGTAAAAAGACGAACATAACTACGAATTACTATGGGTACTACAGTTACATGTAGTTATTTTCAGTACAGTAAACATATTGTTTTGAAAAAAAAAAAAAAAAAACAAATTAATTTTTTTTTTAAATTAAAAAAAAATTAAAAAATTAAAAAAATTAAAAATAAATAAATATATATAAAAATTTAAAAAGAAATAAAAATAAAAATAATAATAAATAAATCAGCGGAAATGATATATGCAGGCCAAGAAATGCTGAATGCAGTTTGGCCGAAAATTGCATATAATGTTAGTATAGTACTTTCGCTTCTCAGGAGGGTATGTCAAAGGATGATTTGGGCTTGAGTTTGTACCTAGTTTATTTGGTGGCCAGAGGGTATGTAAAATAACCCATATATATATATATATATATATATATTAAATATTTAACTAATTATAAAATCTTAAAATCCACATGTGTATATATGTTGTACGAAATGCATAATAGTGTAATATGTACATTGCTAATATAAAAACATTTGACTTTTATCTATTAAATGTAAGAAAACCCAATTGAAAGCAAGTATAATTTTTGGGGTCAAAAAGAGATATTTTAGGGTTATTCACAAAAATTGCTAAAAACAACTTTCAAACACAACATGATATAGCAGTTCCAATACGTGTAATATACTTCTTTCGTTTAATGATATTCGTTTGTTTTTTTTTTTTTTTGCAAAAAGGTTTTTAGTTTATTAAGGTAAAAATGTTTGGGGCCTCAAAACTGGCCCAAAGAAAAAATGGGAAAGCAATCTAAAAAAACTATTACAAAAATAGCCCTAAAATAGTGCACAGTTCATCACGGACAAACTCATTCATCCTTTTTAAAGAAATGTGATCTAATCGGGCATGTCAAAGTTGTGCGGGGATTTTGACTTATATCTTTTCGTTTTGCTTATATACAATTAACATGTATTTCACTTGGATTTACTTCATACGAATTGTTTAATAGTTGTCCCTTATAAATCACATTTTCACCTTTTATATAATTCAAATCGAATTTCTAAAAGCAAAAGTAAAACCTTATTTGTCCATAACAGAAATAGAAATAAGGATTCGAATAAGAGTCGAAACAATAAAAAATATGTGGCACCCCTTGATTTCTACTTCTCTTTATACGGGAAGTAGTATAAATGTTTTATTTGTCCAATGGTAGCGGAAACATTTTTCTTTAAAGTTCGAGAGGCGGCTTTTGTTTTATTTATACTTTGAAAGTTTGAATTCCTTGATTAGACGCTTTGATCCTCTCGATATTTTGGTACCACATAAATCCGATTTTGGTTTTTCGTTAAATTGTTACCTGTACTTGGTAGAAGTAATTTCAAAACAGACAAGTTTAGTAGAAAAATGATATATTATGAAGGGGTAAGATTGATTTCCCAGGCATACATAAAATAATACTTACCAAAGTTGGGCGGGATCCTTATTACTATGTTAATCCAATAACAATAACTACCATGACTCCGAAAAAGAGTACTATTTCTTAATAAGACCATGAGTTTAGGAAATTAAATTATACAAATGAAACCAAAGTGTTACGACTGGAGTTACTAGAATCCACATAGGTTCCATTGACCCAATCCCTCGACTCCCTGATTCGGCTCCATCTCTACTCGCCGTTGCGGTGCTCAAATTACCTACGTCAAGCAAAAAATAGCAATAATTACACGCGTACGAGACACATTACACTTTACCTTTTCATTGTCGTACGATCATCAAACATAAACAACATCACAATCAGTACATACAAACATCACCACATGAGTAAAAACATCACCGTTCGCATAAATCACTTTCATTTCTTACATTTTGTACCTTTTCCTTTTTTACCCTTTTCGTTCTTTTTTCATTTTCCTTTCTCTTCGGTTCAAGAAAACTTTATAGTTCTTGTTTCCATATTTGTAACCTTTTTCCTTTTTCATTTTTCCATGACCTTTCATCATAATGCAAAAATGCAACATTTAACGTGATTTTATGCAAGAAAACCATTTTGGGGGCCGTTTGAAAATAGTCATAGGGTTTGACGATAAATCGTGTAACCCGTTTGTATAAAGTGGATTATACATTTTGCGGTAGTCATCTCCCATCCTTTTCTCGATGGGATGTCCTTCTAGTTAACTATGGGTGGAGTACCGATTTCAATGCACAAACCTTCGAAAAACTTTTCAAACATGAAAACTCGTGTTTTTTAATCAAAACGTGTTTCAACGAATACTACTATACTTTTAAAGAACACTAATCACATAAATTTTTGTTTAAGCACTTTATTTTTGAAATAAGAGCAATTATACACACAAGAGCACAAGAAATCACACATACTTTATAAATCGAACCATCACAATTCAATCTCACAAAATTCCACTTTTATTAGTCTTGTTGCTGATTTTTAACCTCATATACTTTTATTATTCTCATAAATCATAAACCATGGATCATAACCTTCCTCAACCTGAAGGGAGTACGCTCACTAGGCCAAAACAGCTCACTTGCGACGTTTTTTTGACGACGATTCCGGAATCGTCGCTAGTTTATGACGATTTTGAATCAAAAACGTCGCAAGATATCGGAAAATAAGATTTCGATGGAATATCTCGCGACGATAACAGTAATCGTCGCAACGATGCGACTAATGTCATTGAAACGTCGCAAACGAAAAAAAAAATAAAGCACTCTCGTAGCGACGTTTTTATATAAACGACGCATGAAAAATATTTTTTGCAATTTATTTTTTTACCTTCGCGACGAATATGACGTATACGTCGCTAGTGCAATTGTGAAAAAAACATTTTATTGGGTTGGCGACGAATTTGGATAAACGTAGCGTAATAAAGAGGAAATATTAAATAATATTTATTCATAGCGACGAAAAGAGTTTATTCGTCGCAAGTAAAATATTTTGTTAAAAAAATTATAATTATTATTTGCGACTATAGTGTATTAATCGTCGCCAAAATAATTATTGAAAAAATCCCGCTTTTCTATAGCGACGTTTCTGTAAGAAACGTCGCAAGTCTATTTAATTTTTTTTTGTTTGGGTGGCGACGAAAGAGTTTAAAAACGTCGCTACGAGATTCGATTAAATTTGACGTTGCGTCGCAAACAATTTAATTAGAAGGCAGGCCCTAATCCCATTTTCCCTATTTTTTCCAACTTCCTTCTCGTTTCTCTCTCTCCTCTTTCAATCTCTTCCCCTCCGCCGGGGCCTCCCCCTCCGCCTCCGCCGCCGCCGTCCGCTGCTGCTCTCCGCCGTCCGCCCATCTCTCCGCCGCTGCTCTCCACCGTCAGCCCATCTCTCCGCCGCTGCTCTCCGCCGTTCGCCCATCTCTCCGCCGTCCGCCGCTGCTCTCTGCCGTCAATAGCTAGCCCTAATTTCCTCCTCTCTACCTAGCCCTCGATCAACAACCACAAAAAGGTAACTTTCTTGCCCTAATTTTTTTGTATTTAGTTGGTGGGATTATGGTCTTTTGATTGTAATTTTGTTACTGTAGAGAATAGAGGTCTGGATTGCAGTTGCGTACTACTGAAAGCAATTGATCGATTTTACGGTTCTTCCTTCGGGCTGCCATTCCCAAAACTACTGTCAAATCGAATTGCAGGCAGTGGCGGATCCATGACGAAAATTCAGGGTATGCCGGCTGTGCCGGGTCCAAGAATTTACTGTATAGTGTGGTTAAATTTTTGGGGGTTCGGAGGCAGCGGCCCCGAAAAAAAAATTTGAACCTTTTTTTGTTGGATAAATTAGGAGAAGGGAAAAAAAAATTGAATTTTTTTTTTTTTTTTGGATAGATTAGGAGAATAAAAAATTTGGGACTTTTTTTATATATTTTGAATTTTGGGTGGACTAAATAATAATACAGATATAATATAATGTGTTTTTGGGGAGAGGGGCTAAAAAACAAGAAAAAATTTAGGACTTTGTTGTATATTTTGAATTTTGGGTGGACTAAATAATAATATAGATATAATATAATGTGTTTTTGGGGAGAGGGGCTAAAAAAAAAAAAGAAAAAAGTTAGGAATTTTTTTGTATATTTTGAATTTTGGGTGGACTAAATAGTAATATAGATATAATATAATGTGTTTATGGGAGAGGGGCTCAAAAGAAATTTAGACAAAAAAAGTAAACAATAATTTTTTGTACCATAATGGAGTCAAACTCATGACCTTATCTAACAACTTGGAGATCTTTGCCACTAAGGCAAATTTATTTTCGTTATTTGGGGTGGTCCATGGCATACTTGGCCACCCCCTAGATCCGCCCCTGATTGCAGGTACGGTGATTTTTTGAAAATGGTTATCCTTATTTGCACAGAATGTAACTGTTTATTGCGGATTGTATTGTGGCAGATATGGGTGTGTTCGAGCTGCGGTTGGTAATAATGGTGGTAACGCTCTTGTTAATAGTTCCAAGCATGTATGGTTGGGGAAAACATGGCCACTTTATGACTTGCAAGATTGCTGAGGTGTTATTTTATTATTTTTTTTGTTTTTTGTTTTTGTTTTTTTTTTTTCTGATTTTGATGTTTGAGGCGTTTTATTCTCCCAACAGAAGATTTTGGAATTTTTGGTATGTTGATGAAAGAATCATTAATTGGAGTTGGGAGTATTCTTTGGATGTTACAGAATTTTCTCACTGGAGATGCTTTAGCTTCAGTGAAAGCATTACTTCCAGACAGTGCTGAAGGTGAACTTGCTTCTGTTTGCTCGTGGCCAGACGAGATTCGTCGGAGTGCGCATAATCGGTGGAGTGGTCCTTTACATTACATAGATACACCTGACTTCAGGTGCAACTACCAGTATTGCAGTAAGTGGATTTCTCTCTTATTAATTTTTTTTTAATTTATTATGTTTCTGTTGTCTGCCTTCTGTTAGATTGTTTTGATCGCTTTTCCAGAGGAAGAATAATTGTCTATGTCAGTCGAGGAATGTATGCCACTATAATTGTGCCTATGCAGCTTTACCACCGTAGTTTTGGTACCAGTTGTACCTTTATGCTTTCTGACTTTTACTTATGCTATAGGAGACTGCCATGACTCTGTTGGTCGTAAATATAGGTGTGTCACTGGAGCAATTTACAACTACACAATGCAGCTTATGACAGAGAGTCGTGATACCGATTTCTCAGTAATGAAGTGTATGTATCAATTTTATTCTTCAATTGGTTGTATGTTAATTATTTATGTTTATTGTTGTCACATGTTTATCATATGTAAATTATTTGATATGTTAGTTGAGATATGTGGATATGAATATTTGTTTTAAATAATGTTAAGTTGTTGTATACATGGATGGTTTTTTTGGGGATGTTCATTTATTAGTTGTTATGCTGTAGAAATTTTCGCTAAACAAGTGTACTTAATCATTTTCAGGCTGATTTGGAATGAGTGTACGATGAGACAATGCATGATGGAAGTGACGAAAGTACGGCCAACTCCACTGTGATAGAAAAAGTTCTCGGAAAAAGCAAAGGGCTTGGAATTAAGATTGCAACCACCACAAAGAGTTCAAAGACGAGATTTTCTTCAATTCCGCCGGAAGTGCAAATGGAAATGAATTCAATGAAAGAGCAAATGCAACTTAAAGATGAAAATATGGAAAGATTGGAAGCAGAATTAAAAGAAACCCGAGAAATTATGAACACCTTGGTAGGTCGTTTTGGACTACAAGCCTCGACATCGACTCCTTCCAATGATGGTGGAGTATAAAAAGGGATGCAGTTTGTTTGGTTTTTGAATTAAAGTTTGAAACACTACATTATATATGCTTTTAAGTTTTTATGTACTTTTTTAATTTATGTTTTGTGCTACCTTGATATTTAATCCGTATAATTGGTTTTTGATATAAGTGTTTTTTTCTTGTACAACTGCTGAATACAGGTTGGATTTGTTAATTGAAAAAATAAATGAACCAGAATTTATATAAAAAAAAAAACGTGCGACTAAAATACAAAATAGTCGCAAACATAAACTGTAGTAACTAGCGACGAATAAATAAAACTAATCGTCGCAAATAACTCGTGGGACTTGCGATGAAAACGGCTATTAGTCGCAAATATTTTCGCAAACGTAGCGACGAAATCATCACAAAACGTCGCTTAGTGTAGCGACGAACATATAATTCGTCGCAACGGGTTGCGACTTATTATTTGTTCGTCGCAACTGGTAAGCGACGAAAGTATAGGATCCGTCGCGAAGATTAAGAAAACATTTTTGTCAGAAAATACGAATGTTGCGATGATTTATGTAATTCGTCGCCAAACTTGGCGTCGAAAATTACTATTCGTCGCAGACCTTGCGACGGGGCGTTTGGCGACGTTTTGTGTAGGATTTTACGACGAAACAAATTCGTCACAAACAGTAAAAAAATGTCGCCAAATATACATTTTCGTCGCCAAATTTCGTCGCCAGTCGAGCATTTTGGCCTAGTGGCTTAACACCATTTAGGTCGACCTACTTACACATATATACACATAGCACATAAAAATTATATATAATGGAGCAAGTACCTCTTCGACCACGTAGATTTGAAAATTTCACAAAACCATAGATTGAATTTTCCTTAAGGTTACGTAGGTCTGGTATACACATATATAGCAATTAAAAATCAATTAAATTGTGACGCCCGTCTTCTATGTAATGCGTTTGTCAAATTACTCTATGAAATTACCTGGTCTGAATACTACTCAATCTATAGCTTACAAAATACGTACGATTTATTCTATTCACAACCTCACGTCTAGCAAGGTAAAGTACAAAGGTTCAAAATTGTTATGACAATAACTTCTAGCTTATGAGATTACAATACTATAACATAAATAAGTTCAAACACTGATATTTATAATACAAGACAACGATTATTCTTAACCTAATCAAACCACAATTTTACAAAGTCAAACGAGATAGCTACTCGGCACTGATCCGTTCAAACTTGCACCTGTGTCTAAGAATATGACAAGACAAAATAGAGTAGATGGATAAGTCATAGGAGACTTAGTGAGGTGTAATAATAGAGAAAGGTGGAAAGTATAACAATGTGCCATAATATGACATGGAAAAGAGTTCGATAGTCGAATCGTTAGACAATATCGGAAAATAGAAGCGTTTAAAGATTATATTTCAATTCAAAATTCATGAATAATAGTACGAATGATCACTCAATTTTTCGATCAATAGAGATAAGAATACATCTACCTTGTGACTCTCATAGCCATTTACTACCTTATTCACCGAGCAGAGAATGATCCTGTGATGCAATGTGGCATGCGGGGGCGCATGCCGGTTTCGCCCGAAACCCAACCAACCTCCAGTTGCGTATGGGTCTAAACCTAAGTGGGTATTGTTGGAGAGACTACACAACGTCGGCCCTATACCGCCCAACAGTCATCTATAAACATCCCCGGGCCCATCAATATCCATTGTCCTTGAGGGTTCCCAAATGACTTATCTGTTAGAGTAGTTGACCAACAAGCCAACATGTGGCTGTGGTCTTTCGTATTTATTATTGTAATTAACGAACCTTTATTCGTATTAATGATAAAACAACTTGGCATTCTATATCTTTGTCCCTTTATCACAAGCATAGATATAGTCCTTACAGTTATTACAAGTACGAGTAAAATGATCGTTAGGATTGTGAGATATTTACTTTAGTATTATAACTGTTAAACGTGTTCCTAGTCGAAGGGTTACGCCACCAATGATGATATCGGCCTTTCCCATTAAGAGACTAGCACTTAGTGTATGTGTACTGCATCTCATCAGTAAACGGTATTGTGATATCGGCATGCATAAGTGGGTGCTCGTAAGTTGACGAGTTCACTGAACTCCCTCACCCTAGAAATCTCTAAGTGGTTCCCAATAATCGAGTAGAGATATCTATGGTATAGTTGTACACCATTAGTCCTTATGACCTAGACATCACCGTGACTTCACTAGAGGACCACCTGTATCGTGACCTATCCCTGAGTTCCACCGAAAACCATCCCAAGGGCCAATGTTCGTGCAGTCCGAAATCTAGTGGGAGGTCTGTGCATTGTAGTCGGCGATTCGATCGCTAGAACAGTCTTGGATGTCATGTGTGTTCTGAAAGTTTGTAATCATTCTAAGTCTCTGGCGAGAGCTGACTAAGTGATGATTAGAGAATTCGATTATCTAAGTCATGCACGTAACGATTACAACACTTAGAACGATCGCACCGTCATTGAACATATAAAGAGGTCTCGACGAACCAATGCCTCTAGTTCAATTGGGACATTTGTATCGAAGGGAGCGTAGTGTACGTTAACTATATCTGAAGGTTCTTGCAGGCACTTCATTTGTGTCTAGGGAATCATGACACGTACTTGCTAGACGCCAATCTTGATTCGTTGGGTGATTAAGGTGAAACGAGCTTCATCTTAATCGTAACTCTAAGGGACGAGTTTTGACAACAAAGGGTTGTGGGCCCACGGCTAGCTTACACCTGAACCATCGAGGGTCACACTGCTCGTGCACATGAGATCTTTGAATAAACGGTCAGAGATAAAATGGTTTATCTTTGCATGATTGGAAGTCAATATGATTGGGTCCAGCATTCGTAATTTGGAATTATGAATGAGAATAAGAAAAGGAAAAGAATAGGCGAACATTGTAGTGGACTTTCTAAATCGGGAAGTTTCCAAATTTAGAAAGTACACTGAACTAGGGTTTCCACTTTTGGAAAGTTGGAAATTGAGAGTTGGCACTCGTAATGACGAGGACTTTATAATGATTCCGAAAATGTAATCGTTGCAATTTTTCGGTTATTGAATTAAGAGAGACGAGCAAGTAAAAGTACTAACGAACTTAAGCTGTTGGGCCCGGTCCAACTTAAGCCCGCTAGGTTTTTATGCAAGACACTATAAATACAAGATTTATAGGTCTTACACACACACAACAAAAACCCTAACCCTAGCCGCTCACACCCTCTCTCTCTCGGCCCTCTCTCCTCGGCCACCGCGCCGCCGTCGCCGGAAAATCGCCGGAATCGGCCATCCGTTGGCCGATCCCTTTCGGTACTCTTTTCTCTTTTCGTTTCTTCCGTTTTATTCTAACGACTTCGTGTCTAGTGCCACGTTTTAGTAGATCGAAGTATACGAGGTGAAATCCGAGAGGAGGAAGATCGAAGAATCGAGGAGCAGCTCTCGAGCCGACGACGCACGCGACCCCACGCGCTGCCTCGAAGACCGCGCGTGAGATACACGCGCCGCCGTACCCGTCTCGCCGCTGCTGCTGCTGCACCGGTGCTGCCCCGGATTGTAAGGATTGGTTTCCGTAGCAATCTCGACTTGCTTAGCGCTCCTACCTCACGCTTCAAGAGGTAAACACACGAATTTAATGTTCTTGATTCGTTTACGTTTAAACAATATATTCATATTTGCTTTTGTATGATTTTATGTGATTACGTGAAATTGTTTTAATCGTTGCGAGCATGTTAGTTGGTTTAAACGCGAGCATGTTAATTGATTTCAATTCAGTTAAACAATTTAGCATGTATGTTGTTTTTAATTTCGCTGGAAGCGCAAAGGTACGCGATTAATTGATTTAATTTATCGGGCATGTGTTTATGTGCTTTAAAGTTGTTTAAATCGCATTAAATTTTTGTTTTCCGCTGCGTACACGTGTCCGATTCCCAACAGTAGTATCAGAGCTCGTTGCGCAATTAATTGCGTTCGTTTTAATGTGCTATGATTTTATGCACGTTCGATTTATTAAAGTAGTGATTGTTGTATTATGTAATTGGGAGTTTTCGTAAGTTTAAAATATTTTTGAAATATTATTTAGAATTTTTCCAGCTTTAAAATTGTTTAAAATTGGAAAATCGGATCTGAAATTATTTTTAAAACGTCGGTTTTTAATTGTTCGGATCGAACCGGTCGAGCCGGCCGGTTCGATGGTTGTGTGCGATCTAGTTGACCGAATCCACGTGGATTCGGGTCGGTCAGACCGGTTCCCGGTCCGACTGACCCGGCCCACTGATTTGGGTCAACTGGACCGGGCAGAACCGGACCGCTTCGGTCCGAACCGGTCAGACCGGTTGGGCCGAACCGGTTCGCTGAAAAAAAAAAAAAATAAAAAAAAAAAAATATTTCAGATTTCTAAAATTAAACTTAAACCAAATTGATTTTAATTTTCGGAAAATTATTTTCAATTAATCCCAATTAGATAATTGGATCGACAATCATCTATTTTAGTAAATAGGTGTTAGATTAATTGATTAATTTAAATTGTTAAATTAATTCCAATTAATAGAACACAAATATAATATTGATTATAGTTCAACTTAATTAGTAGTACCTCAACATTATTTGAATGATTTAGGCTAGTTGAGGTTCTATAATTATTTTGAAAAACCCGATAATTAATTAATGTAATTAATTATGAAGTTAGGTCGTATGTTCCTCTTAGGACAATATGCGTTTCCATATACCTTTAGAGAAGATAGATGTAGGAATCACATAGACCAATCCGAACCTTCTGATGAGATAAAACCTTTTAATAAAACCCCTCATTCTTAATCTAATTAAGAATCATTTCAAGCTATAAAGAAAAACCCAATCTGTTGAGTTATTTCTTTCCTTCTGCCAACGGTTGGATTATGTGTAGCCCTTTACTGTAGTGCAGTAAGCCGTGTTAGCGGGGAGTGCTATGGTAGAGTAAGCTGTAATTCAATTGACATAGCGATGAAGGTAGCCATAGAAAAGGGTTATGTTGGATTAACGTGGTCGGCTAGATTAACTAGGGACTGCATTAGTTTGGCATAATCAAGTTCTATGAGCATCTTTGATTGGTAGGTTAGACTTGACACACGACGATTTTG